TCAGTTTCCACAGAGAACAATGTATTCAAGGAAATAAGGAAATTAGCCGAAGCGTTAAGGAGTAAAGCGATCAAGTTACACGTGGCTAAGTTTACTTGATTAACCAATAGCAAATTACATCGGTTCGCCCTCGGGTGTTAAATCGTGTTCTTCAATTTTCCGAAAAAACCCCTTCCAATTCAGTTTCATTATAAGATTTCTCAAAGTCTATTCATGGTTTAAATTTTCAGTGTTCTAAATAATTTTCTCGCGATTAATAAATGTTATAATGTACCGATATTAACGTTGGTGTTGCTACTTTATTTTCCATTTGTCCATAATATTCCTCCGGCACTTTTTTTAAGAACAAAATCAACGTGACCTGTTATTGAAAGCTAACAAATACGAAGTAAAAATTTTTCTAACGATATGTAAGAGTTTCTCGTTCGCTTTCTAGTTATACTTTTTCTCTGCCAGCCACCATTGAGTTCCTCAGCAGAAGCTGAGAGAAGGTGAGCCTTTAGAATATCTCCCCATGTACATCTACTTGTTATGGCCCATTGTCATAGTTACAAGATTCATGTTGGCAGGGATTATTTGTTTTTAAGAGGGTTTGAAAAGCAGAATTCTTTTTCATCATTTGTTTACAAGTTTCTCCAGCCGTCCCGACTGGAGACATTTGACATTTGCGATGTCCTAGTAGTTCTTCTTCGTTTAGTTGTTGTTAACAGACCTCTATTTTACGCTGAACCAATTCTCTCTACCTGATCCTTCTTCTACCTGCGCGTTTTTTCCAGTGGAGAATTAAATTTACGTTTCAGTGCTTCCTGAAAAAATGAAAATGATTAAGATTTGAAAATATTCAGATGTCAAAACACCTCTGTGAAAATTAACAAAGAAAATCATGACCCTGACGCCGTTTGGATCTCTGATCTTACTTAGCTTGGACTTTTAAGATTGTGTTTCGCGTTTAATTTATTGCATCCGATACGTTACTTGAAAGAAAATAAACGGTAGATGTTTAGTTTTGTTATCAACTTTTAATATTTTATCTCACATAAAACGTTTGACGTTATTCGCTTATAGCTGCTAATCAGGAAAAAGGAATGAAATTATCCTCGTCTGTAATCTAAGGTTAAAACGAACTTTACCTGAATTTAACTTGATGAATTGTTAATGAGTGTAACCAGCTGACGCCTGTACCGGCCGTAACCGGCTGTGACGAGCGTTGGCCGTTGTTCCACTTTTGACGTGTTCACTTTTGACCAAATTTGGCATCATTTATACTCAAGTTCTGCGGGAAAAGATCTTTCCAATGTTACCTAGATCGCAGTAATTGGGTCAACTGAGCGTGAAATATGCCTGAAAAAGATCAGAAATTTGAATGAAAAACTCGGAGCGAAATTTCCCTCCACTACACTTGGCTACTCCTTGGCAAGAATTGCCTGTCTCGATGATGCTTTCTCGGGAATTCTTGAACTGGAAGCAAGCCCATTAGAAGTTTAACCACTGCAGCAAAAAGATAAGAAAAGGCNAAAAAAAAAAAAAAAAAAACCCAAAAGCCTAAAGATGTAGGTAATTTTCTCGTCCAAAATCTCGAAATTTTGATTTCCGAGCACAGCCAACTACCTGTGTTAGTATTGAGCGGTGGCTTAAACGTTTATTGCAATAGCAGAAAATGTCGCATTACCGTTCATCTCAGTGAATCAGTTTGCACACGTCGATTGTTTGACCTTGGTTCATATATTCTGCTTTGTTGCAGTAGGTAGATGCTTCTCGTTGGAGTCGGTTGTGTACCTTTAAGTAACCCAGGAAAAGTTGTTTTTTGCT